CATGATGAGCATGCACCCAAATACAGGTTGTGGTAAACTAATAACATAATCTGTCATGACATTTGCCATTGGCATAATGAATTGCCATGGCCAGTCATAAGATACATAAATTTGGAAACCCAAAAAGGAACAATTACATGTATTGTTAGTAATTGTTAGTAAACTTACCTCTGGATTATGGTAGCCTTATTCCTGTGGATACACAGATTACATACAGAAAATCAAAAGAAATTTTAACACTAAGTCACAGCTATTCCTAGTGGTATACCTAATCTACCCCTGAGTTATCTCCCATGATCCTGACGTCACTGTATTGTTCTCTTAGAACCCTTCATAATTTTTCTAAAAAACAACACATCTATGACATCTTCTAAAGATAATTTCTCGGGGAGGACACAGGATGGGAACTACTCTCCATAATCCAGAGGTAAGTTTACTAACAATTACTAACAATACATGTAATTGTTCCTAATTATAACGTAAACATTCCCTCTGGATTATGGTAGCCTGAATCCCAAGTAAGGAAGGAGGGTTACCCTTGGAAGATACTACCCTCTATACCACTAGCTGAACCTCCTAAGAATAACTATGACTTAGTCAGAGATAAAATATTTATCTCTAGATTGGTCAGTAGCAGTGAGGGAATACATTCCCAGAGATGGTGAGTCTTCTAACTTCCCACAGTTATGGTTGATATGATAGATATCATGATAATCCTAATCCGTAATAGTAGGGATTATATAATCCGTGACGCCATAAATCCGGATTACGATAGATTCCTATAAATGTATAATGATTCTATCCGAATCCCGAAATATGTCATTAAACCTAATATTCCTTAAAATTATGATGTCACTTCCGGTAACTATGATGTCACTTCCAGTAACTATGACGTCACTTCTGGTAACTATGACTTCACTTCCGCATCCTTGAAGCAATCCCTAAAGATATTAGACAAATAACCTTCAGATTCAATTATATGATGTCACTTCTGGTTCTATGACATCACTTCCGGTTCTATGACATCACTTCCGGTCTCATGACGTCACTTCTGGTTGATGACGTCACTTCCGGTATCAAATACTACTAATAAATACTAGCCACATAAAGAAACTGTGCACTGTCAAAATATTATCCCAGTTGATAAGTACGATAACAAAGTCAAAGGTACATATAAACTTTAATGGAGGGATCATGAGACCATAACAAGTCGGGAGAATTTCAACTGAAAAGTCAATCACAATGACGTCACGAGTCCACAAGCGGGACAGGGGTCAAACGACCATGTCACAAGCTCAATAACGGTATGTCCACCATCGGCATTGAGAACAGCAGTGCATCGATGAGGCATAGAGCCTATCAAACGTGCAAGGAAGGCTTGTGGGATGTCACGCCAGATTCTCTCAAGTTCTGAAGCAAGGTCAAGGACGTTATCTGGCGGATGAAGAAGACGGCGTACACGTCGATCCATCTCGTCCCAAACATGCTCTATCAGGGAGAGATCCAGTGAATTTGCAGGACAAGGCAGTAAGTCAACGTTGTGGTGTTGCAAAATCCATCCATAGCAACCCTTGCCGCATTATGAGGGGGCATTGTCCTGTTGGAATGCTAACCCAGGGCCATGACGTTGCAGAAAAGGAATTGCCACAGGTCGAAGAATCTGATCCCTGTAGCCCACACCAGTTAAGTTGCCCTGAACAATCACCAAAGGAGTTCTTGGGCATGCTGTTATTCCACCCCAAATCATCACGGAACCACCACGAAAGCGGTTCTTCTCCAAGACACAGGCCTGTGCATAACGTTCTCCCACGCGTCTATAGGCACGTTGACGTCCATCACTATGGGTTACAAATGTTAAACCTGAACTCATCTGTAAAAACAACATTTCTCCACCAAAACAAGGGTCTGCGGACATGATTTCGGCACCACATTCGGCGAGCTTGTCGATGACGTTGTGTCAGGAGTAGACTGGCCGGGATAAATCTATTGTGAATGGTGTAGACCTGGGCAGGTTATCCCACGTCGTGGCCTTTTATAATACTCCAATGGTTTCTTAAGTAATGAAGAATGCGACAAGGACAGTTTGGGCTTAATATATTAATTAAATTTCTTGCTAAGGAGCATTGTTTCAAGTGTTCATGTCATATGGACCTTGTTGATGTACATTTATTGAACAAGTAAGAACATATTACCCCTCATTAACCCTTTTTCTAATCACAGCCCAGTGGCCAATAGTAAAGACAAATGAACTGAGCTGGTATTATGTATAGAGCTGATGAGAGAGAATGAACCCCAAGCTCTCTGCTATGTCCACTAGTTCCTGTTTGTGACAATTCCACTTAGATATTGATGTTGACCTTATTAATCCCTACTGTGAAGTCTGACAGATCGGACATCGTGTAGAGTGAACCAAAGTGGTCACACAAAGGATCTGTTGACAGCGTTTCTTGCATGCACGCTTCTGAACTGACGCACTCATAATGCTTACAAGCCAGTGTCCAGGCGAACAGCCAAGGTCTTGCTCCACCAAGACTCAATGAAAGTAAACAATTCCTTTCTACATCCACTGCATACAGTGGAGTCAATTGTACAATTGTGATGATACCATGAGCCAGTGTTTATGAATCTGTCAGATGGTGATGTCACTGAGTGTTTGTGACAAGGTGAGCATATCCTGCCCTCTGGTGGCACCCATCATGCAAACACATGCAGGCAGAGACTAGTCAATTATTAACCTGATCAAAAGGACCATGTGGGAACCTTTCACCTCAAAAGTTGTGAAATGTAGGTGAGGTGAGGTGAAAATGGGGTTTCACATCGTACTTGAGAATATTTCGCTCATATGACATGCATGTGTGTGTATGTGTGGCTGCTTGTACTAGCCCAGACTTAAACTGGTTTTATAGTGCTAGCCCACTGAGATACCATGCCGCAGTTAATCATGAATACCCTACTCAGACACATTATACTGACTCTGAGCCGACCAGTCCTTGTTGTACCCATTAATGCCATTAATGCACCAGACCACCACAAGTACCATATTTAACATCTTTTGGTATGACGCGACCGGGGATTGAACCTGTGACCTTCCGTTTTCTGGGCGGACGCTCTAACCACTACACCATGGAGTCTTTTGGATTGTAAGCACCAAGACTGGAGCTGTTGGAATGTTGCACAATGGGAATGTTAACTATTGGACAGTCGAATATTTCTCTTGTCATAAAGTTTGGTGGAGAGTTCCCTGTCACTCCTCATGCACTGATCAAAATATGAAACACATGAGATGGTTTCATGGGTCTCATTATTTCAAGTTCAGGTGGGTACATGTGGAAGGGAATTGGGTATTTGGAGGTGATTGAACAGTATTAGATTATTGATATACCTTTGGCCACTAAATTCATTTGTCAAAAAGTATCTCCAGACACAAGCATTTTAGTGACAAGGGCAAATGACATACAAATGACCTTCCTCTGACTTTAACCATACATGTAGGTCATTGTAGGACCTTCTCCCACTTAAGCCTTTCCTAAAGAAGATGTAATTTCATAAAAATCAAGCCTTAGGTCTCCCTAAAGCAAAACAATCATCTGAAAACATCCCATTTTGTGTCACATCAGAATGGCTATTCATCTGAACATCAACCAGAATGTTGAGTCTTCGGGCCGACAGTTGAAAACAACCATCATCTACCTCCTACTTACTGAACATCTGAACAGACTTTCCATTTCCCATGGGATGTACTGTCATACAATATGGGCCATCTATTTGACATTCAAGAAGGTTCTTTTGTTCAGTTTTCAAATCTGGAAATGAGAACCTTGTTCAACAAGTGTACAAGTGAGCACAGCTCACATATCCCCGCTTCCCACTTCGGGACATTGAAATGGCTGATATTGATATATATAATGTGACAAGGATCAGCAGCTCACGTGACATTTTATCCTTGACTCCACCAGACTTTATTACATACATGTTAGATAATTAGCTTTGTGTATTAAGTTTGGTGAACTCAGCATGACTATAGCTTCAGAGATATGCTCTGGACAAGATAAGCACCAAACACATTTTGCACTAAGTCGTGTTTCCATAGAAGTAGCAAAAAATAAAATTCTGATAAACTTTAGGAGAGCAATAGACACATCTGTGGGTCACGATTAACTTGTGTGTAAGTTTGGTTTACTCGCCTGTATAGTTTCGGTGATATGCTCCGGACAAGATAACCATCGAACACATTTTGCATGTCATGTTTCCATGGAAACAGCAAAAAATACATTTCTGATAAACTTCAAAATAGCACAAGGCACATCTATGGGTAATGTTTAACATGTGTGTGAAGTATGGTGTAGCATGCAAACTTGTGTATAAGTTTGTTTCACTAGCATGTATAGTTTCGGTGATGATTGACATGTGTGTGAAGTATGGTGTAGCATGCAAACTTTAAGTTTCGGGATGGAAGGACGGAAAGACAGAAGGACGGAGAGACACAAGGACAGAATGAATGCTATATATACCCCCCGTTACTTCGTAAGCAGGGATATAAATATGCAAAGCATAATCTGGAAAGAAGGTTCCCAGTTTGAAACAAGAAAAATAATACAGCTTGAGAAAGCTTTTTGACTGTCCAATGTTGACTTCAGTCAGAGTTTGCAAAAGGTCGTATTGATATGACCTGTGATGGGATGTCCTCAGATATATGTTGACTGGTATTAAGTGGTAACAAGAACTACGTTCTGAATTTAACAATATCAAAAAGGATGATATGTTTAAAATTTCACTGACCAACAGTTCAGTGGTGAACAATCAGAGTTTTTTTGTACATGACCTTGACCCTTGAATGACCGATCAATGTAACAAGAAGATATCCCAGGATTTTGATGAGTGACAGCAGCATCAAATTCAGACATAATCTCTTGGAATAATTTTCAAAACCAACAAATTACAGATGGGAAAGCCACTGTCCATTATCATCTTTGGTTATGAATTAATGGAGTGGTAATTACCTGCATGACACTTGTCAAGGACATCCTGGCGCAGCTCAAGGACACTGGTCAGTTTTAATTCTCGACGATGTTGTGCTTCACTTGTTGATGTGCTAGGTTGTGGAGACCTTTTTGCATCATTGTCACTAGGTAAAACAAAAATCTCTTATGTCAGAATGAAAGTATACAGCTCCTTGCAGTATTCTAGCGTTATCACTACCCCACCATTTTCTGGTACTCCAGTTAAATCTGTGGGGAGGCTTCGGGAATTTCAAACTGAAGGTTTTGAGTTTGTGGCCAACAGATTCTGACAAATACTCGTCTAAATGAAATATGGGACAGATCATCCCTGGAATATCTTGTGGTACTAGTAAGTTTCAACAAAAACTACTCTTTGACCTTGACCTTGTAACAGACAAGGACAACATCCAAGAACTGAAATATGGCATGGTTTGGGCCATATTCCAACAATATCACATCAATGGGGTACAAACACTGTATCCGTGAAGTTAACACAGTCCAGGAATTTGAACAAGGCTAGTGACTATTTCAACCACATTTGCTGGATAATATCATCTACTGCACCCATCCAGTAGATCACAGTAAATACTTCCAAAAGAGCTTTCATCAGATTTCCGGGGTCACTTGTCAAATTGAACAAAAGTTGACAAAATCACAATGTAATACTGATTTTGACTGGCAAGTAAACAATTCATACCCAACCAGTCCTCAAACAAAAAAGAAAAGATTGACAGGCATAGAAATATCAAAAACTTGTTCATCGTTGTTTTGAGGACTATTTCTGTAGAAATATAAACATCAGCGGCAAATACACAAACCAATACATTCATTGAAACTTTGTTAGTCCAGAAAGGATACTTCCTCATGTGTGTGATCATGGTTAGAACAAATGATGTTAATGCTTTACCTGTCTTCATTATCAACTTCCATGACATCCTCCCTACTTGTGGATGCTGATGGCTGATTGCTACCACTAGCTGATGGTGCATTTGGATTGGTCGAACTGACTGTTGCGTCCTTCTCATTGCTGGATGGTCTGTTCAAGAAGGCATCAAGCTTCTGTTCCTTGCTGTCTGTTCGGACAAGGTGATGTGCATATACCTTCCCTCCATCACCTGGAATGAATTCCGTGGTACATATCCTTCACAGTGTTAAACTGGTGTTGGGAACCATCAATAAAAACTGTGTGCATGAGGCTTATATTGACACACATTAAAACTGATATCTGTATAAACTCATAGAGGTATCAACTGATAAATGTTCATACCCTACTCTTGACATACTAACTACAAAGTGCTAATGCAAGGGTTTTATCATCCAATACTGGTTTCCAGAGGAGATATCGCTTGTTGAGCTAATTGCTGATTGGTCAGACGACTTTCATCTCCCTCAGCTGTAAAGAAAGATGGCCACCGCAATTAAGTTATTTTTGTTCATGATTTGTTCTACCAACATAAAAGTTTACTTAAAATGCCACCAAGAAATGGTGAAACTTATGCATTGCAGAATTTAAAGCAATAAATATTAGCACTGCATTTTTATGTGCTTGTTTTATATGACGTAAAGGTGTCACTAGTTCCCTCTTCCATCACACTTGTTCACATGGATGTATTCATACACAAGCCTTCAAATGAACTTATTAGGGGTGACATTTCATTTTTTATTTCTCCACCCCTCGTCTACTAGACATCTCACCCTGTTGTTTGTCATTTAATGGATCAGTTAACAAAACACTGTGAATCAACATTTTAATTCCCATTTTTATTGGTAGTCATCTTAGAAAACCTTTAGAGTGTTTTAATGAAATCAACAGATCATTTAAATAAGCAGGGAAAAATGAACCAACTTTTGTAAGATTCTGAACTGAAAGATTACCTGTCATATTCCGTGGGTGGCATCTCCTAGATAGGTCTACTGACCACAAGTCTTTAGGGGATTCGATAGAAGAGTAGATCCCTGCACCTCCTCCCTAACAGCTGATTAAAACAGTGACCAAGTATTGTCAGATATATGTCAGCTATCCCTGACGCTCTCACTATCAACCCCCAGTTTGTCCACTGTTGTGACGAATATCAGGACAGTCTGATAATACTTTAGCACAAACCATAGTGTACTCCCTTACACAGCGCCGGAAGTCTTCTCATCTTACCTGCAGACAGATCCGACTTGTCTTCCTCCAGAGAAACAGGGGCTCCAGGTAACAGTGCCTGAAGAGGAGAGGTGTACCCACAATAGTACCAGAGAACATGTCACTTTGATTTAACACCACAGGAGTCTATTAACACAGATTGGAGTGAGTGAGTGAGTGAGTGAGTGAGTGAGTGAGTGAGTGAGTGAGTGAGTGAGTGAGGTTTTATGCCGCTTTTCGTAATATTCCAGCAATATCACGGAGGGGGACACCAGGAAGGGGCTTCACACATTGTACCCATGTGGGGAATCTAACCTGGGTCTTCAGCGTGATGAATGAATGCTTTAACCCCTGTGCTACCCCACCGACCTGCCACAGATTGGAAGCTGCCGTGTCATCATCCAAAGTGACATCCATTTGGTGACGTATGAGTAAACTACAAATATCTGGAATACATCAGAAACGTCAACCAGAGTCACGATTTATAGGTATGTTTAGATGAATGTATGCTTGAATGCATATCATCTGTTGTACATACCGAACAGATCTAATTATGGTTAATACCACTGAGTGGAAGGGGGCCATACAAGGTGTCATGTTTACTAAATACCAGCAGCCAGCCAGTAAGAGCTAACTAAGAGGATCATTCAGCGCACCATAACAAATTTTCAAAACATCCCAATCAAACTATTATTATACCTGCATAACTGGCTTGTAGACCGTTGAAGTGCCACACGTGTGACAAGAATGTCATTTCTGGACATTTGGACACATTTTAAAGTACTTCTGAGGACCACTTTCTTATCAATCTTTTCATTATACTTAATTTCATCTAGTGTTTGTGTATCAACTACTCGAAGTTTCTGCTTTGACAAGAGTGAGTGAGTGATTTGAGTTTTATGCCACACTCAGCAATATTCCAGCTATCTGGCGGCAGTCTGTAAATAATCGACAGCATGAGCATCAATCTGCGCAATTGGGATATGATGACATGGTCAGCCACGTCAGCGAGCCTGACCACCCAATCCTGTTAGTCGCCTCTTACAACAAGCATGGGTTACTGAAGAGTAATTCTAACCCGGATCTTCACGGGTCTGCTTTGACAAAAAAAGTCATTACTGGAACCAGACAGAAGTTTATGAGCAGTGGTCAATACATGAATCTGTCATCAGCAGACTATGAAAAATGCAAAAATAACCCTGACCCTGCTCAACAAAAAGTACAGGAATGATTGCTCCGATACCAGGCTCTGTGAAACTGAGTGAAATTGTATCCCAATCTAGTCTCCCTGTAGGTGTTCTGGACAGACAAGTGTCTTGTATCCCAATCTAGTCTCCCTGTAGGTGTTCTGGACAGACAAGTGTCTTGTATCCCAATCTAGTCTCCCTGTAGGTGTTCTGGTCAGACAAGTGTCTTGTATCCCAATCTAGTCTCCCTGTAGGTGTTCTGGACAGACAAGTGTCTTGTATCCCAATCTAGTCTCCCTGTAGGTGTTCTGGGCAGACAAGTGTCTTGTATCCCAATCTAGTCTCCCTGTAGGTGTTCTGGACAGACAAGTGTCTTGTATCCCAATCTAGTCTCCCTGTAGGTGTTCTGGACAGACAAGTGTCTTGCATCCCAATCTAGTCTCCCTGTAGGTGTTCTGGACAGACAAGTGTCTTGCATCCCAATCTAGTCTCCCTGTAGGTGTTCTGGACAGACAAGTGTCTTGTATCCCAATCTAGTCTCCCTGTAGGTGTTCTGGACAGACAAGTGTCTTGTATCCCAATCTAGTCTCCCTGTAGGTGTTCTGGGCAGACAAGTGTCTTGCATCCCAATCTAGTCTCCCTGTAGGTGTTCTGGGTAGACAAGTGTCTTGCATCCCAATCTAGTCTCCCTGTAGGTGTTCTGGGCAGACAAGTGTCTTGTATCCCAATCTAGTCTCCCTGTAGGTGTTCTGGACAGACAAGTGTCTTGGATCCCAATCTAGTCTCCCCGTAGGTGTTCTGGACAGACAAGTGTCTTGTATCCCAATCTAGTCTCCCTGTAGGTGTTCTGGACAGACAAGTGTCTTGTATCCCAATCTAGTCTCCCCTGTAGGTGTTCTGGACATACAAGTGTCTTGTATCCCAATCTAGTCTCCCCCAATCTAGTAGGTGTTGTGGGCAGACAAGTGTCTTGCATCCCAATCTAGTCTCCCTGTAGGTGTTCTGGGCAGACAAGTGTCTTGTATCCCAATCTAGTCTCCCTGTAGGTGTTCTGGACAGACAAGTGTGTTGTATCCCAATCTAGTCTCCCTGTAGGTGTTCTGGACAGACAAGTGTCTTGTATCCCAATCTAGTCTCCCTGTAGGTGTTCTGGGCAGACAAGTGTCTTGCATCCCAATCTAGTCTCCCTGTAGGTGTTCTGGACATACAAGTGTCTTGTATCCCAATCTAGTCTCCCTGCAGGTGTTCTGGGCAGACAAGTGTCTTGTATCCCAATCTAGTCTCCCAGTAGGTGTACTGGACAGACACATGTCTTGTATCCCATGTCAAATTAAACAAGGATCACACTGAGTGGTCTACCAATACCTCATTATATGGTCATTGCTCATGCAGAGTTTCCCACGATTCACAAACATGGGGGTCCCGGGGCCACCAATTATTAGATTTAAGGGTCCTTACAGGCAATATGAGGGTCCTGTGAAGTAACAGTGTAGAGAACTGTATGTTTTAATAATTGTTTAGAGCCTGGAATGAATCTTTGAAGATGTGGACTGAAGGATGAAATGATGCACGTAACTGCTCTGAAAGAAACCAAAACCTAAGCAAAGTTATAGATGTGTTGTGGGTAAGGGAAACGCTTCCCAAATAAATACTGAGCAGTTTATGAGTTTATTAGATTTAGGCTCTGAAAACAGAACGTGCCGGATGGACACAGAACATTTGTACATCCCTTACAAAAATGGGTTCTGCAGGTATAGTTAGCTCCATGCTGTATTTACATGAATGTAATATTGCTGACTGGTACAGCAGTTTTTTGCAGCAAGATCGGCAAGGGATAAAGCATCTGTTTGATAATCATTCTAAATGATAACAGTTTTGCTGGAATTGTCCCTTGGAGAATGAAAAATGTAAAATCTGACAAAATATTTCTTTAGGCACACTCCCCTACTTGATTTATCAGCAACACAGCAATCACAATCAATCTGTGAGTGGAGAAGGTTGTGAGCAAGTCAAGCGGTTCAGAGAGCATGCTTGCTATACCATCGGGAGTTGGACACTTGACAGCTGATTATTAAATGCCAACAAAAACCTCAGCCAGTTCCAAGATGGATAACAATGTCCCAACAAGAATTAATGATGCACCCACAAAAGTGTTAGGAAGAAATATCAAACAAATTTCGGAAATGGATAAAATGTCTGCATGCTTTTTATTGTTCAAATCCACCTAATTGCTTCAATGGAAATGCAACATCATACATACAAATGAAATAGATTGAGGAGATTTGAACAGATTCATATTTACAGGTGGTGCACAGTGAAAATGTCATGTGAAGGATAGTGAAACAATATTTCAATTCATGAAGTGCTTGCCTGTTACATTGTTGCAAGTAGTGTACATCATGCTGCTTCCCCACTTACATTGTTGCAAGTAGTGTACATCATGCTGCTTCCCCACTTACATTGTTGCAAGTAGTGTACATCATGCTGCTTCCCCACTTACATTGTTGCAAGTAGTGTACACACTACTACACATCATGCTCATGCTTCCCCACTTACATTGTTGCAAGTACATCATGCTGCTTCCCCCACTTACATTGTGTTGCTTCCCCACTTACATTGTTGCAAGTAGTGTGCACACTAGTGTACATCATGCTGCTTCCCCACTTACATTGTTGCAAGTAGTGATGCTGCTTCCCCACTTACATTGTTGCAAGTAGTGATGCTGCTTCCCCACTTACATTGTTGCAAGTAGTGTACATCATGCTCACCCACTTACATTGTTGCAAGTAGTGTACATCATACTGCTTCCCCACTTACATTGTTGCAAGTAGTGTGCATCATGCTGCTTCCCCACTTACATTGTTGCAAGTAGTGCACATCATGCTGCTTCCCCACTTACATTGTTGCAAGTAGTGTACATCATGCTGCTTCCCCACTTACATTGTTGCAAGTAGTGTACATCATGCTGCTTCCCCACTTACATTGTTGCAAGTAGTGATGCTGCTTCCCCACTTACATTGTTGCAAGTAGTGTACATCATACTGCTTCCCCACTTACAATGTTGCAAGTAGTGATGCTGCTTCCCCACTTACATTGTTGCAAGTAGTGCACATCATGCTGCTTCCCCACTTACATTGTTGCAAGTAGTGTACATCATGCTGCTTCCCCACTTACAATGTTGCAAGTAGTGATGCTGCTTCCCCACTTACATTGTTGCAAGTAGTGATGCTGCTTCCCCACTTACATTGTTGCAAGTAGTGATGCTGCTTCCCCACTAACATTATTGCAAGTACTGTACATCATGCTGCTTCCCCACTAACATTATTGCAAGTAGTGTACATCATGCTGCTTCCCCACTTACATTGTTGCAAGTAGTGTACATCATGCTGCTTCCCCACTAACATTGTTGCAAGTAGTGTGCACACTAGTGTACATCATGCTGCTTCCCCACTAACATTGTTGCAAGTAGTGTACATCATGCAGCTAAATATGTTTATATTCTGGTTTTAGTTATGAGAAACTTAGACCCAGTTCTTTCACACTTAAATCTGAAAGTGGGAGGAAATGTTACCCTAAGTAGTAATAACTACTGTATGATATGATATTTTGTTCAACTGTATGGATATGATATTTTGTTCAACTGTATGGACATGATATTTTGTTCAACTGTATGGACATGATATTTTGTTCAACTGTATGGACATGATATTTTGTTCAACTGTATGGACATAATATTTTGTTCAACTGTATGGATATGACAGTTTCTTCAGGCACCGAATGTCAGTATGCTGTGACCTAAAGGGCACTAACTCTGTCATCTCCTTGACATGACATCACCTTAGCGGTACAAACTTCCTCATCTGCTTCATGTGAAATTGTCACTGGGGTAGCAGTTCCCTCACCTGTGTAAAGAACGTCCTAGAAGCATTGGAGCCGAGAAGCTTGGACTCTACTGTAGCCTGAATACTCTCGATGATGGCGTCCTCATGCAGGAAGTGAACTTCATGCTTTGTCGGATGGACATTGACATCAACATTCTGGGGAGATATCTCTAGGCTGAACAATGAACATTGTGATAAGAACAAAGATGTTTGCTTTGTTTCTGGTCTTTCAAACGTTTTTATATATGTTGACTTAGCTCAGGAACTGGACATGGCAAGCTGATCTCTGGAGCAGTATAAGGGGAATAAGCTGGTCTCTGGAGTAGGAAAAGGACTATAATCTGAACACTGGGGTAGAAAAAGCGCAAGAAGCTGACAATAAGAGATGGAAAAGGGGATTAAGCTGATCTTTCAAGTTGAACAGGGGAAATATGCTGATTTCTGGAGTTTGATAAGACATATTCAAGAGTGCACTGTACATAAGAAGATACGGTACTGGAAGAGGTCTACTTTCGACACAATAAATGAACAAACATGATTACCTTTTTTACACAGAAATATATCCCAAATATGGCATTTGGAATATCACCAAGTAGCCAATAAATGACAATGAAAAGGGAAACACCTGGCTATCTCAAACGTGTGCAACATCTTACCTCATATACACGAACGGGTGAGTATTCTTGGGGAGGTAGGCCTGGTACACTGCATCTAAAGCCTTCCGCAGACTTGTAGAATCAACAAGGCGATCTGGAACACATATCAGAGAAAGCTTCAGCATAGCTAAAATACATCACAAAAATAGAGTTGTTTTCAGATTAGAAATTGGGTTGAGTTGATCGGAATTATAAAACTTCTGCATCCTTAGTTATCTATCTCTTCAAAGTATTCATACCCATGAAGATCCAGGTTGGAATATTTCGGATTACACTTTCTCAGTAAAGTACATACTGTAAATCGACAAAGGTTTGCAGGCAGAAAAGTTTTTCTAGTATTGCGAATGAACTCCAGGTGCAAAACTTTCCAGCCGTGATGACATCTCTCATTTATTATTCCCGGTCCATGTAAATTATGTGATCAAACAATGTCAAGAAGTCTAGATGTTCGCTTAAATTGTTCCATGCATAAGAACTATCCGGAAATACACCAAAAAATTGTTGCATAACCTTAGTTGTGATTATACATATTTTACATTTATAGAGCACAACCTGCAATGAAAATGACACAATGCTAGAATATATTTCTCTTTATAAAACAATAATAGTTTCAGCTACTATCTTTTTATTATCGGGTACGTTTTAACTAAATCACTGGTAGGGGAACGTGTGCACTGCACAGCTGATTGCTATTTCTGGTGCTGTATACAAGACACATGGTAATCTTAATCCCTGCATATATAAGACAATGCCTAGCAAAAACAACATAGAACTGAATAGGTAAATAATCTTTTCTAGCGATGTTTAATTGCAAACTTGACGTCCTAAGTCTTCTCTTGTATGTTTGTTCACGCGAAGCTATACGATGTATTGTCAGCAATTTGACTTGTTTTTACTAGAGGAGGACTCGCAAAACAAACACAACATAGAACTGGCTGGGTTGTTGATCAAGCAAAACATTGACGACGGGGAACTTTGTCGATTTACCGTATTCTAGTTCTCTTGTCAGAGGGGTACTCAAAGTCTAGACTACCAGTTGTTTGACATCCATTGAGCTGTGATGGCTGAATGGGTTAGATGACTGACTTTTTGTGCCTGACTCTGAGGGAGTGGGTTCAAATCCTGGATGGGACCCAACAAAATATGCAACAATGGTGAACCAATAATAGACTGCTAAGGGCATGTTGTTATGAGAGGGAGAGCAAGTCTCTCAACACTGAGAGACCGACATTTCTACCAACCTACATGTATACGTATTATAGTATACCATTGCTTTGGTAAGTTTTTGATATGTGGACTATCCACTTTTGGATTTAATACTTACGTGAATGTAATAAGATTTTGAACTTTTGGTAACTTTAAGATGTTTATCCTTTGATAACAAATATATATGAGCTGATGGTCAACATCTATTGTCATAAAAGTTAAGTTCCAGGTAATTTGGGGGCTGTCCAGACTTAATGAATTCAGAGTTAATTTAGTGGTATTGACAATGTTATTCCAGCATAATTTAGTGAGTTATTGAGTATGGTTTTACGCTGCTTTTAGCAATATTCCAGCAACATCATGGTGGGGGACACCAGAAATATGCTTCACACATTGTACCCATGTGGGGAATCGAACCACGGTCTTCAGAGTGACGAGCGGACGCTTTAACGACTAGGCTACCACACGGCCCCTAGGATAATTAAGTCATAACTTACATGACATTTAGATCAAACATTGTTTCAGTAAAGATAATTATTGAATGTTCTGGTTTAGGTGAAACAATGTGAAGATTGGATATTAGGTGATACTGAACATTGCAAGTCAAATTTCTTTCAGTGTAAGGGCAGTGTAGTGAAAATATCACTTTTCTCATATTCAGAAATCTTAGTTTTCACACGTAAGAACATGATAAACATAATGTCAATGATACACATCTTCTCCAGTCCACATGCCACCATATCTGATTACTCCACTAATCTATCAGTGTCCTCTCACAGACTTGTCTATAATGTCAATGATTCAAACCTAATACGTTTGAAGATCATACCACATTACATAAATAGACACTGATGTCTCTTGTAACAATACCTTGTTTAAAAACACTACTTCTGCACATACCAGAATATAATAGAGATGGCATGATACACAAAAGATCAGTTTACATATTTGGTTTAGGCCAAACCAATTTTATTTCTTGTTTTACAGATTTTTGTCCTCAGAAAACCTAAAGGCAGGAGGGAAAAATATATATAACAGAAGACAAAGTCATCAATATCCCCCTCAATGGCAAAATACTCTTCATGAATATGTCTACTAGTTATGATTATGTCAAATGTTTTGGCATGTATGTAGCAAAGTGGAAGGAGAGTAATGAAAGGTTTTTAAGTTCTGCTCCTGAAAGGACACTACCAGCAAATTCAGTCAAAGTCAAATTTGTTGCCATGGAAAAACAAACAATATTTTATTCAGAAACCCAAAACTACCAAAAGGCACCAGTATACCACCAGATCTATCCATGTGCCAAGTTTGGTGAAGAAATACTGAAAGGTTTTGAAGTTCTGGTCCGGAAAAGATGAATGTGCACAGATGGATGGGCGGACGCACGGATGGAGCGCATTTTTTTTTTTTCAATTTCCTTTATTTGCTTTTGAATACATGGACTTACAACAGTATAAGATATCTTGGTACACAAGCTGTGGTGGATTCGAGATACCCATGATCACCTCAATGGACGCTAGCTCAGTAGCTGTGCAAAGAGGGACATTGGTTATAAATGGTCCTTCAAGGTTAGTCAAATGTCCTGTAAAATTGATAAAATTTACCAGCTACAATGTATCATATTTGCAAAAAAAAAAAAGTCCCCATTACTGAAGAAGCCTTGTTTAGACATGTGGTTGGATGTGATAGGAGCCTCTGCCCTTTGTACATAATGCGGCATATAGTCTTATAGCAAAATCATCCTGCAACACAAACATCTACCAAGCAACGCATCATTATGAACACATGGTACGGTCATTTGGCATTCAATGGACACGATTTAACTACCTATGTGAAATAACATGGTGCTTAATGTATAAAATTCAGTACATGACAACCTGTATTCACTTCATCAATTACATACAATTTACTCCAAATCCGCATTGTGTAACCTAAAAACTTTATAACAATCACATTAAAACCCCCAGAAACTCAGATTCGTTTCAACTATATTCAACACAACGTTTTTAAAAAAAAGAAAAAAAGACTAATGCTCAAATAAATGGTTCAATCGACAAATATAACAATATGGATTAGCATTACACTGGACAGTCTTAATTTGTGTCTTCATTCTTCACAGTTGGCAAAGTGATTAACCATGTACTAAGCCTGCTATGTTCACTGACAATTGCAGGTAACCATGGTAACATGTTTAGCTTTTTTTTAGCTTATAAATAGGTATATGAAAAAGGAAAAAAATATATATAAAAAACAATAAAAAAAAATATAATAAATAAATAAATAAATAAATAAATAAATAAATAAATAAATAAATAAATAAATAAATAAATAAATAAATTTAAAAAAAAAAGTAATAAAAAACTAGAAAAGAAACACATATATAATGAATAATTAAATAAGAGAGTAACTAACTTAATAATAATACTTCATTCATTCACACATTTACACCAAAGCATACATACCCAATTACTAAATAGATCATATTTTTTCATTAGTTAAGTTTCGATAAATGGCCTATTTCCTTTCAAAGTCATCAAGCATAGCTGTTTTACAATGTCTAGCTATTCTAACAAATATAGTATCTTAATTCTTTCTTGAAATGGGAGAGGGTTGGTGATTTCTTTTGCAGCTAGCATTTATATATATGATACTTGGCAAGTAGCAAAATTAGATGAAAAATATCATCAGTTTGGAAAGTGGATGAACAACCAAAAAGGATCAGATCAACCTGGAAATTAATAATACCTGTATGTGAGCAGTTTTGTTCAATCCACTGAGAAAGCTTTTGCCAAAAATGTTTACTTATTCTACAGTTCCAGAAAAGGTGAAGTATAGATTCAGGCTCACTTCCACAGAACGTGCAAAGATTATTATCAACAATATTCATTTTAATCAAGTATGTATTTACTGGAAATAACATCCTATATTGCATCCATCATAATTTGGGATCAGGACTTGTCTTAAAGGTTGTATAAAGATATGGCTCCAGTTAATATTAATCAAGGTTTCATCTTCCCAATTTTCGATGATCTTCAATTTTTCTTCACCTTCAGGGATTTTAAAATAATAGCTCTTTGATCCTTTTTTTTACATGAAAAAAGATTATTCATATTTATGTTTATAAGCTTATCTAACATCACATTTGAGTTTTTTTAATCCCTGTATCTTTGAGGTACTTACTAACTGCTTTTACAGTTCCATGAAATTCAGTAAAGTTTATATTGTAAAATTTATGACAAAACTGTACAAGCGTCATAAAGTTACCATCATCATTCAGTAAACAATGAATATTAACAATGTCATGTTCTTGAAATGTTTTTCTGTAGAGAGATTTGCCATCTATAATTATGTTTCTGTTATACAAAAGGGGTTCCCTAAGAAAATCTTCATAGGTATTTGGTTTATTTTTATAGCTATTATTGGCAAGAGCATTCAGAGTATCTTTCCACAAAATATTCTGTATAGATTTTGAAAAGTTTGTGAGGAAAGTCGCTACCAAACAGTGTAAGGTTTAAATATTGTGGAAGTGTTTCTATCAGCAGGTGTTTCCACTTTCTATCATAGCTTTGTTGTAGTAGTTTTCTAATCCATGTTACTTTCAGGGCATCAACATAGGCATACAGGTCGATCATGCCAAGCCCACCCTCAGCAATTGGTCTACAGACTATTGTTCCTTGACGGAGCGCATTTTAATACCTCCCACAAAACACGTTACGGGGAATAAAAAAATCACCAGTCACGGTAATATTCCTTTCAAATACTATAAGTATTTTACTTTTGTCCATTTATAAAGTGTATATTGCCCCATATTGTATGCTCCCCAGGGAGTTGAGATTGATAACATGGTGTGCCGTTGAGACCGACATCCAATGATGCTAAGAGGGAAAC